CGTCTTTATTCAGACGTTTCCCAAGCAAAGTGACAAAAGAAGAAAGCACCTTGCGTTGGCTTCGCTTTGTAAAATGCGAATGAGTAATTGGTAAATAATCGATGAGCGCCACTCTCCCATCGATGTGTCAGCGATCATTTGAAAATCTTGAGAAATACGAGATTAGTAATTGGATAATGGGAGGATAAAAGAAAGGTAAGCGTGAATGAATGCGGGCGTAATCGAGATTGATAGTATTGAAAGAACGAACAAACAAAGCCGGAGTTAGTGGTTGACAATCGAGCATTGAGTGAATGACTAAGAGCGAGCTGCTGCGAGTAGATTTGATGATGTATTAGGCAGAGATAAGGGCTGCGTGAGTCCATATATTAATAGCTTAATCCACGTAGCTCTTCAAGTCAGATTTCATTGGCATTTAAGAGCTCAAGAGCCGTGCGTCTTATCGCTCTTGTAAATATATATAATCAGAGCCGTACGAGTGTCCCGTCCGTGTTTTCGCAATGCGCCAGGTAACGAGTCTACGAGTAACCAGGACAGTCGATCGCGCGAAATTATCCAGCCATTACTCGGCCATCGATATCGAAGAAGCCATTTGAAAGTCGAGCAGTGCCGGCGCGGCGAGAGGACCGACTGCAGCCGCAGTAGCGGACAGAGAGAGAGAGAGAGAGAGAGAGAGCGGAATAGATCCATCGAGCTTTTATGCGCTTGGCGGGCGTGTAATGCCGCCAAGTTATTGCTATCGCGAGCTGGAGAGACGTGCTTCGCCGGCGGCGAGTTACGTGCACGCGCGATCGAGCTGCTACCTCGTATCGCGCCCACCTCTCCTGCTTCCTCGCATACTTTCCAGCCGGACCACTGATTTTATTACGCCTTGGCGCGATTATCGAGCGTGCCGTCGTCCATCCACGCGTCACGTCTACTTGCGAATTCGGATTTTATCGACTCGCGCTGCCGTTGCATCAACTATTGCGATTGAATCGCTTCATCCGTACCACGAGTCCATGAGAAATCTCGGCCGAAAGTTTTACGACTGGCCTCGTGCATAAGCAAAGAAAGAAAATAGCAGCGCTGCAGGATACACTTTTTCAGCTTTAAAGCGTTGACGAATCGAGTTTCGAAAACCTGTTTCACTTATGCACGCATGTAGGTGAGAGTTTTCCACTTGTCCGCGATAAGCGTGCCGAGCACTTGCGCGGAAAGTGCATATTTTACAGATAGATTATATTTCGAATTCGTACGTGTGGCCGCCGAGTAATTGGTCGCCTCTATGCATGCCTGCCTATAACGCAACGCTAATGCGGCAAAGTTCTCCCGACAATGGCTCCGCTCGATTCCGATGTCGTTGGTTGCCGTTCAGCAGCCAGCGCATCGCTGCAGCGACGATGCGATCCTAGTCGAGACCAAAATATAACGTTATCGACCAAGTTAACCAGCGAGTGCTCTCTTGCTCTCAGCCGCTCGCGCGCTTAATTGATAAATGCTCGCGAACAAGAAGCGAGAGGAGGAGATAGCGATAATAATGGAAGCTGAGCGAGTTGGCCGTTTCGCGCTCGTTCGCCTCGAACGAGAAAGCGCGTGCGCGTACCGTCCCGCAGCCGTAAAAACAAAGCATGCCTCTCTAAAATTAAGTTGCAATATATCAGTAATTCTCGTATATCTCGTGTTGGCGCAGCGGACGATTCCCCTGCCGTATCGAGCGTGTGCACATACTAACGGGTGACGTTGAAGAATAGCCGTGTTATTTTCAATTGCCGTAAACACTGGCCGAGCTGAGCGTAATATCAGCAGCTCTACCAAGCGATAACCTCTCTACCTCTCTCTCTCTCTCTCTCTCTCTCTCTCTCTCTCTCTCTCTTTGCGAGTAACTTCAAGCCGCATTCGGTCGCGCTTGTGTGTTTTTATTATTCCCGACTGCGACTCGAGCGCAAGTCTCCCTCGCTTCGATCGCAGCGTGCAAGTAAATACCTACGTATCGTAATAAGCTTGGTGCGCAGGTCTGTGTGCGTGCCGAGGAGCACGAGAAAAGAAACGCGTCTAGAGTGGAGTCGAGATGCGCGGATAAGGCGACCGCGACGCGCGTTACTTCACGTACAGGCTCGAGGAATATGCGCAAGACAAATTGCACGCCTGCACAGCCGCGCTGCCTTTGACCATCTGCGTGATCTTCGTTTTCGACGTGAGTTTTTGAGCTCCCTTGCCGATACCCGCGGCTCCGCGCGCTCGTCGCGGCACTCCAATTTGTCGCGCGAAACTACGTCTGCTCGTGCGGACGCGCTTTATTTTCACGTTTTTCTTTCCCGTCGCGCAAGCTCGCCAATCTCTTACCGTGGAAAGTTTCTACGCCTCGCGGCTCTCGCTCGGCACTTCCAGGCGGATTTCGCATTTCTGTCCAGCGCATGCCCACTTGCCGCTCGGGCAACGGTCAACTCGCGTACGAGGCATCGCGCGGCCGGCAAGGATCGCGCGCTACGGCTGTCCGCGGGGGAGAGCCCCGCCGGCGATTTACGGCCGAACGTTGCGCAATTTCACACGGGCGATCCGCGACCGAATAGAAAATAAGGCGAGCTCCCGGAGAGGGGAAAAAGGAGCATAGCGCGGCGCGCCAGTTTTACGATTGTCTGCGAGCAGCGCTGAGCCGCACACGTGCAACGCGTTTCCCTCTCTATCCCTCGGGCTTTTACGATGTCGCACGCATACACACAGGCTCGGAGAGGCCCAGAGGAATGTGCATGCGCGCGCGAATGCTGATGGTTTTGCGGCTGCACGCAGCCGTAGGATGAGGGAACGCCGACAGTAAATATCTTGCTTGGAAAATTCATTAGGCGGCCCTCTCTCTCCTAGGACTATTTCCTTTCGGTTTTAAGGTGGGATTGAGGATTATGCGCGCGCATTAGCTCTCCCTCACTCTGTTAGCTCGTGTGTGCCTATATTTACATACAGGGATGCCCATAGTCAGAATGAGAGGAGGGGTTAGGCCTCTCAAAGACGTAGCTCTTCTTTACAGACCAGCGTGCACGCGTTGTGCGTCTTTTCAATGTTTGAAAATTCTCCAAAGACTTTGAAAAATTCTTGAATCTCAGTCTGCGAAATCGACTGTAGGACGGATCTTGAAAAAATCAGACATCCAATTTTTTTTCATACGTCATTAGGATAACCGCGCGCATTAACGCTTTCTTCTTTCTCTTCATTCTAAAGGAAAAAAATGCCGACTACCTTTTAATGTGCCTCTAATTTCATAAAACCGAGCACAAATCGTGATTACGCAGTTGGCCAAAAGGTTCTAGTAATGTAAAGAGCCTCGTGCATCATCCCACCGTTGTTACACATCGTAGCTCTATTTTCCCCTATGAGCCTGATTTTCTTGACCTCAAGCCGAGAGAGAAAGCGAGAACTTAAAATTGGAAGAAAGACAAAAGAATGAGAAGAATGTAAGGAACGCAAAAACGAGAAAATGTTCTGCTTGCGTCACATCTAATAACCTACTCGAAAGGGCGTCGTCCCTCGCAACACTTACGTTGCCGCTACCATATCCTCGCTACAAGGAAAAGAAGCCAAAGCTACTCCACTGTTTCATGAAAAACCTCCGCTTACCACGTGTACTCGCACACCTCCGAGCAGCAGTTTTTTCCTGCGAAAGACCCCAAAAGGGACTCCTCTGTTTCCATTCCTACAGACACACTCATGCCATATACACATCCTGTGTCTTCCTCTTTTATTTTTTTTCACATTACGCGACTACACGTGAGCTTTATCGTCAGTTTACATCTATTCGTTTGTAGCACACAGCAACTCGTAAATGTCTATCGATTCTGCTATTCTTAACTTTTATTTATCCAATAATAAGATCTGAAAATTTTGGTCGAGCCAGTGTGTAGTTAAAAATCAGTCAAGTTAGCGATACAAAACGACGAGGAAGAAGAAATGACGGTAATGGAACGGACGACAGTACGCGCATTGACCAACGAACGTAATAAACCGATAGAGCACGTATAGAGCCGAGGGTGAAAGATCTGTTGGTTGATATACTCGTTACATTCCTCGCCTCCTGTTCCTTTTTTTTCGCCACCTCGTCTTTCGCTGTGCCTCGCATTGCTGGCGAGGAAGGCCCCACCCTTTGTGCGAACGCGCGCGCGCGCGCGCATCTCCTTCTCCTCTGCTCTCTGTGGCGCGCGCGCCCGCCCGAGCTCTCGAGAGGACTTGTGTATTTTTTTAATCCGGCTTCCTTGCGCTCCCTCTTTTAATTCGAGAATCATCCCGCGCGCAGGATCGTCCCTTCACGCCCACGCGCTCTGGCTTTTGAAATCGTCTTTCTTGCTCTTCTTTTTTCATGTCGCTCTTTCGAAACTCGTTTTTCGAGTACGACTCCCTTTTCTCTTTTATCGCCGGAGTTTCCGCGACCAGAGCCAAAGAAGAGGTAGTTCGGCTACACTTGACCGGTTCGCAGGCGGCGAGCGCTGACTGTAAAACCGAGAGGCGAAAAAGCGATGATCGATAGTGTAATGAGCGCCCAAATCATAAATCGGAGCAGCGCCTGGCCGCGCGTTCTCGGCTTTAACTGGTTGCTTTCGCTCACCATTATCCCATTTCTCACACTCCATCTCGGCTGCTCGCGGCGGAGTCTGCTGCGGCTGTTTCTGCCTTGCGTCGCTCGCTTGCATTATTCCCTCATTCCCATATCCCTTTCTCCGTCTGCGTCTCGCTCGCGCTCCACTCCCAAGCAGCGCATACTCGCACACACGGACCGAAAGAGAGAGAAAGAGAGAGAGAGAGAGAGAGAGAGAGAGAGAGAGAGAGAGAGAGAGAGAGAGAGAGAGAGAGAGAGAGAGAGAGAGAGAGAACGACAATCTCACGCACGCACATCCCCTCTGACGGCGATGCTCGTCGTTGGCGGGCGGCGGCAGAGGGGAAGGCGGCGAGGGAGGGGGAAGAGTAGCGCGCGCATGTCGCGTTCGCCCCTGCTGCCTGCCGCCTGCCTACTCTGCTCGCTAGCCAGCGGCGGCGGCGTCCCGGGCCCTCATTCTTTCCTCGAGCGTCGCGCTGAGTGCACACTGCAGCCGTGCGCTAGTTTCGCCTGTTCCTCGACCGTTCCCCGCCCGTTCAGCAAGCAGCACATCTCGCGTCGCAGTATAGCAGCCACACAGCCGAGCGCACGGTTTTCCTTTACAGTGTCAACCCCCTCCCCCATTTAGTGCGTGTGCCGGCAGTGCCAATTAGTGACCGCCATCGAATTGTTGCAATTGTGTGCCCGATCTCGTTCGACTGATCGAGACTCGCGTGTGTGAACCAGAGTGGTTTTTTTATAGAGGAAATCGTCAACGGGACAGTGTATAATTTTTATCTGTGTTCCCTGTGCGACGAGGGATCTACGCGATATATAGACAGAACGGAGCCTGTTTCAACAACTGAGAATCACGCGTGTTGAGCAGTAGCAGCAACAGCACACATTCGGCGAAAGGTAGGCAATAATTTTGTTTCACCGCCGCGGCCGCCGGTCGTCCTTTGTTACGCGCGCGACTGTCGCACGGGCGCGCCATCCACCGAAAACCGTTATGAATATCCGAGCTTCCGTTTCGGCTCAAAGTCAACCCTGTTTCCTTCTCTACTTTTCACTAGCAACTATTCCCGCCGTTCCCTTTCTCTAGCATGTCTATTTTTTTTGTTCTCGCGGCGACGCCCTCGTCTACACGAAATTCTCAATTCGCAACGCATGCTCTACCACAATTTTCAAATGTGCCGTTGGGCGCTATCGTGACGTGTCCTTTTTTAGCCTAAGCGTGGATAGACGCGTGTTCCGTAATGGCATGAGATTTCGGAGCTTTCGTTCTCGATTTTTCAAGTCGGACCAGCGCTCTCGATAGCGTGGTTGGACATTAGCCGACTAACATTTCTGCAAGTACGAAATTATTGCCGAGGGCTGCGGCCTTTCAGAATTTTGAAATTGCGAATGGTATTATTATACTCCGAGCACGGCCGAGGTAATAAGCAAGCAAGCGGCCGGGGCTTTTGGTTGTTGTTGCCATAGCGACGCACAAAAGGTAGTAGTAGTAGTGAGTACGCGGTGTGGTGTGCGTCGTCGTCGCGCCGGCCGGCATCACGCACACCGGCGATTTCGAGGCACTCGTTCGCGTGTGTGTTCGCCTCGCGACCCCCTCGCCATTTTGAAAATGGGCGCACGCAATCGATAGCTGCGCAGAGCCTGCGTGCTGTGCCGAGTGCGCGCTCTTATACAGTCGCGCTACCTCTGCTTGCCCATGCTCCAATCCTGTTTCAATTTTGACTCGTTTCTGGATTCTTTCTATTGTTTCTTTCAAATCGACGATTGGTTTGGTAAAAATGCTACGTATTTTAGAGCAAAAGATTATTTCATATCGTGTTCAGATAAGTGTTTTATCCTTTTATTCGATTTTTTTAAACTTTGCACAAGAGAGTGCCGAAAAATATTATCATTGAAAAACTGACAGTAAGGTCATTGAACATATTTATTTGACAGTATCAATCGCTCTATTAGAGTATGAAATCGAATCTAACATTAGAGCAGTACTTGGTTAGATTTTATAATCTTTGTTGATAAACATACATATCTGCCGGACCGTCTTGTTTGTTTCGCACTCTAAGCAATTAAATTGTACGTTACAGCGCGCGTAATCTCGTGCAATCGTCGAGTTAGCTAATTTTATTCACAGGAAAAATTTGATGAGTATTTACTAGCTAGCGTGAATTTTGTCGACTCTGCGAAAAAAGTCGTGTCGAGTGATTCACAAACAAATTGACAAGAGTGCTTATCAACGCCCAGCTTGGGTGTATATCAAACTAATCGCGTCGGTGTATGTGTACTCGAGATGCCCGATAAAGCACTCGAGGCGTGTTCGTAGCGGCAAACTCGAGCGTGTACGAGGAGGAAGAGAGAGAGAGAGAACACGTGTTGGTCTCGAATAAAAAATCCTTTCTCCTTTTGTGTTGCCGACGAGTATGTAGATTCCGCGTGAAAATCGAATTGGACTGGCGCCATCTTGATATCCGTTCGGCCGGCCGCCCCCTCCTATTAAGAGCGAGTCGTTGTTGAGAACCACCGTCGAGCCGAGAGACTGTCTCGTGAGTCGTGCCTGCCTGTTCGTCCTTGGTCTTTTTTTGCGCGCGTATCTTTTGTTCCAAAGAATCGACATTGTTGGTAAATTAAACACCGAATTTATCCGCGAATTATTATAGTCGTGTTGCTCGGCTCGGTGGCTTTTCATTCTTGTGCCGATCTCGCTTGGCGATCGCGCGTTCACTTTGTTGTCTTTCCGTGCGCGGTTGTGTCGGCTCTCCACCACTTTTTCTGTCTGCCTTGCTTGCTCGCCGGCGAGGCGCAGAAAAGGCCCAGCGGCTACGCGCGTCTTCTCTCCCTCTCTCTTTCTCTCTCTCTCTCCCTCTCTCTCCCTCTACCTCTACTTGATTCTTCTCTTCTCCTTTCTCGAGTGAGATGCTTTGTGTCCGCGCGCTTTACCGCTGAAAAATGCCCCATTGCGCTTCATTTTCGAATTACTTCGAAAAGTTGGTCGTCGTCCTTGCTTTCGCAATAAAGCTAGCAACTCGGCCTGCATCGGAGCAGCGTACACCGGCAATAAACTGAATTTTCAAACGTCTATTCTCGTCACGCCCTTTACTCTGCGCACTCGTCTACCTGACGATCTCCATCGTTTTGCTTGCGTGCAGTTGAATTGTCATTGCCATCGCACACTGGCCGCTAACTAATATCAATCTACAGGAATTGGGTTGTCTCAATGTCAATGCGAGCGAGCCTGCGGCGTTTCTCTTTATTATAAGTGAAGGGAAAAAAGGCAGCTGACATACCGAGCATACATGCTAAAACGGCCGCGCGCACACTCATCCTTTGTTCTTTTATGTTGACAGCATTGGCGCGCTCGGGTGCATGCTGATGTTGTTTTGAATGCGAATGCAAGAGAAAAAAGAAGCGCGCGTAGCGACGACAGGGAAAGAAGCCACCGCAGATGCGAAAGAGATACAGGCGCACGGGTTCGCACAAATATAGCTGAGCAGAGTTTTTTGCCGGCTCGTTTAGCCACGGCAGCAAGCGCCACTTTCGAATTCATCGCTGCGCCGATGTCGAACGGAAAACAAAGCATCGGCGATCGGGTATCGTTGCTCGTCATTAACGACTCCGCGTCAAAAGCATTTTGCACGCCGAGGAGGAGGAGGAGGAGAAAAAAGGCATTGCGCGCGAGCGATTCTCACGCAGCCGCTCGCGCTTATGCGTCGGGTGCGCGCCGCAAAAAAGCAATTCTAATTAACCGTCGCTGCGGTGTAAGCTCGCGGCGGCAGCCCGAAACTCGCTCGTGCAAGCGAGCGACCCGTTGAAACGTGTGAGAAAGATCGGCTCTTGGAGATTCGTGCAGAGTTTGCGCAATTTCGCCGTCTTTCAAGAGTCAGCCGTCGTATAGTTGTCCAGCCCTTCCGATCCGCCGATTAAATATGTCAGTCGATCGCAGGATTCGCCTGGCCGACGAGGACGATTGAGATTTTGGCCGTTATTCGCGAGTGCGATGCACGAGCCAGTCGTCGGGCCTAGATTTATGAGCGCGCAGAGAGAGAGAGAGAGAGAGAGAGAGAGAGTAAGAGAGTAAGAGATCCTCGTTATCTCTGGTAAAAGGCTCGCTGCAGCTTCAAGCGGCTGGTCTCGCTGCGCTCGATCAATATCAATTTCGTGGCCTGTTCTGTGATTTTTTCTGCTCGTAAAGTTGGCGGACTTTCGAAACAAGTCATTAAACTTTGCAGGTCGAGCCGCGCTCTCCAATACTCTTGAGCGCTTTGCGATCGCGAATATTAGGTCAGCAGACATCGATTACACTGAACAAGGCGCTTGGGAACAGTTCAACCAAATAAATAGATGTCGTCACGCTGTGAATGTGGCTCGGGGAGTATCGCTGTGGGATTAGCATTATTTTTATCGTCGAACCCGATAAAGCCATCGCAGCCGCCAAAACAAGTAGCTGCGAGCAAACATCGACGATTTGAAATACGCTGCGAGTTGTCAATTGATTTGAGTGTGTTCTTAATGTCAGCCGATAAAACGCTATCTGTCACACATCGTCGTCGTGCTTCTTTTTTTTCTTTCCTTTTTTCTCGCCGACTCTGGAGATGAACTATTTATGAATCATCGCTGTGATTGTTGCTTCCCGTGCGGCGAATAATGGAAAAAAAATGAGCAGCTTTCGACATTGAGCGCGACGCTGCACGCGGAGTCGTTGCATCATCCTGGAGCGAATGCCGAAAGGATGCAATTAGAGAGGAAACCGGGAGGCAATCTAATTTGGCCATCGTGCCGCAGCGAAGAGTCGAGTTTCCTGAAAAGGACGCGGAAAATAACGAGATACGAAACGGAACCTTCTTCTGCGCCGTTGCCGCTAGATCCGAGATTAGAAGCGTCTGTTTATACAATGAGGAACCTGAATCAAGCCTTAATTAGAGTCTGTATCTCCCGTATGCAGCCGTTGTCGCGGGAGTCACAGGTCAGCTCTGGCGATCGCAATCGCAGCTGCCGCTGTCGCCATCGCCGAGGCGCTCTCCGTGGAAACGCGCACGACCTGAGCCGCCGCTTGGCTTGCCGCCTCGGTTTTTCGCTCGCCAAACATGACGCCAAACGGCTAACGGGACACACGCTCGCTGCATTGACTTTGCGCGCCAGATCTAATATTTCAGTAGGAGAGATCGCGCTTGAGACACCGCTGCTGGCTTTCTCGCGGCAGCTGCTGCCGCGCAGTTTGCGGCCGCCCAGGGAGCCGCGTACTTTTCGCTTTTCCTCCGTTTGGCTCTGTCTGGCGGCGACTCTGCTTGGACAACCGTTCTCAACGGAATAGCCTCGGCTAGAGCGACTCGATCGTTGCCCGTGCGCGCGCTCTCAGTAGCCGTTGTGTTCGCTTCGCTTGGGCTGAGCCGTAGCATTTGCGCGGTCGAATGCCAATGGTCGCGCGACAGGTCCGTCGATACGTTTGAGCCGCCTCACCAATATCGGTCGTCGCTTTCGGAGGATCGATCGGTTTGGATCGCGAGCTCCCGCACGACTGCGCGTTCCTGCCTTATCTTTCGTTTGCTCTTGTTCAATCAGTCAGAGGCGCAATCTAGCCGAATATAGCACCACGTGCGCTCTCCCATCGCCGTCTCCGAAGCGTGGTGCGCCTATCGTGGGCGCTGCTCGTCGGCCAGTTGTTGCTTTTGCCCCAGCGATGCGTGGAACGATGCGCCAGCTCTCCGATTCATCGCGACGCCACTCTTCGCGGGGCACTCGTTGGGCGAGATTCGTTCTGGTTCCGAAAAGCTGAAAAAGAGTAGCCGGGCGCATTGGCAAGCGCGCGGTCAACGCACGACGTAGAGGACAAGAGTTGCGCTCTGCGATGAGCCATGCGGCACCGAAATAGGTTTTTGGAGCGGCCTATAATAGTGAACTCTCGCGAACTTAGCGCGTAACACGGTCATAAAGTCCAGAAATACGTGCGCGCCCGCGGAGAGACACGGCGGAGCGGCAGAGAGACTGTTCGCTTGGCGTAAAATCGGGACACTTCTAATTCGAGTGGTCGCCCGCGAGAGTGCAGTACATTAAGGAGCCTCCGCTGCGACGACGACTTTAGCAACGAGAGTGAATTGAAACGCGCGCGAGGAATGAACGAAATTGGCAAGACGCGCTTGCCTGGCTCGCGGAGAATCCCCGAGGAGGGGCATTTATTATCGGGCACCGAGCGCGCTCTCGCATACGGCGAACCGAGACTGAATGAAAATATCAGACGCGCGATAGAAGAATCAGCCGCTGCGAGATGAGGGGAACCTGGGACAGTGCGCGCGTCCGCGTCGCACTTTTTCTCGCTCTCTCGCTCTCTCTCTCTCTCTCGCGAATATATCGCCAACTGGGGCGTGGTCCAGGTGCCAAAATCACTTGCCGGCCTCGTCTGGCGCATCGCTCGACGTCGAAGCACTAAGCTACTCAACGTCGAGCGCCTCGCGACGATAAGCGTCGCCTGATCGCAAGGTTAGCCCGATGTCGATGTAAATGTCGTTGCCAACGTTCGGCTGGCGTGCGATCGGAAATAGCGCGCGAGCCGAGGGCCCGCTCGTCGCCGCGATACCTTTCGACGGACGTTTCAATTGACGGTGCGCGCGCTTTGGCCAAGATCCAACTTATAATACGCCACCTCGCATGCAAAACCATGAGGCTTCTGCGCTTCCTTCATTCGCATGCAAAATCCATTGTGTGCTGATTGGCCTCTCGCTCATCGTCCGTTTGCCATTCGACGCTCCGCTTCGGATACGCGTAGTCGGTCGCAACTCCGCGGGAACGTTAGGCTGGCAACGCGCTCGATTTGCCCTTGCACGCCAACACATTTGTCTTGTCCGTCCAAATGTGAACATCGATCTGTAGCCGCTTGAGTAGCTCTCCCGTAATCGTCGAGACAAAGTCCGGAACGGAGCGACAGGAGCCAAAATCCTCGCGGGTCTTCTGATTTCACGCTCCGCCGGCAGAATGAAAATGCTGCCTCGTGCCTTAGTTTTATTTCTCCCTCCGTACGCACGCTTCACACTCGCGATGCTACTCTGACTGTACCCGAGGCTGTAGAATAGAGGTGTCACGAAACGTCATACTCGTTCTCCTCGCGTGACGTCGTCGGGGCTCGCCAAACTGTCGAAAACAATGACCTCGAGTACAGACTGCGGTCGCACAGGTGCGCGACCTTGCCGCGGTGCTTTTGCCGGAAACGTGCGCGTACGTTCGGCGGCTCGAGGCATAATATCAGCGAGCGTACGGAGGAACGAGGGAGAGAAGCCAAGCGAGGCGCGATTTTTTGTTGTTGTTATTGTCGTTGTCGTCGTCGACGTTGCCTCGGTGCCGTCCATTGAAATGGCGCTTTAATCGCAAAGTGGAATGTTGCCAGCGGCACCTGCTCGCGGGCGGCTTGCTTCTTTCCACTTTCCACCGGCGAGCGCGTGGGCGGCAACTCATAAAATTAGGGCCAGTTTCGCAACGGCCAGCGGTTTTGCAAAGCGACTGGCACGCCAGTGGCGAAATGGCAAGTGTGTTTTGTGCCTGCGACCGGGTCATTGAAAAGCTGTCGCGTTTTTGTTTCGTCCAAAGAGAAAGGCGGCAACGGCGGCGGCGGCGGCGGCGGCGGCATCAGAACATTAATCTCGGCGGAATGAGGCTCGTCGCGCGGATGAAATATTAAAATGTCCATCTCTGCGTCGCGCGCAAAACAAGCAGCATTCCTCCAGGGCCTCGGCGCTCCCGTTCCTCTTTCTCGGCTGGTCGCGCGCGGTGGTCCAATTTATTTACCGACCGCGGTGCCCGCGATCCCACAAGCGGCGCGCGGGCGCTCGAAAAATCAGCCCAATCGCGTCGCTTTTGTTTAGCGAGCGCTCGGGCGTTAATTTATAGCGTCCTACGCGAGCCGGAGAGAGCCGCTTGATATAACGAGCTCGATTGTTAAATTGGCTGCGGTGGGGGGGAGGGGCGCATAAATCACGCGCTCGATCGCTCTCTCGCGAGTCTGTTGAACTCTTGGCGCGCTCGCGCGTGTTCTCTGTGCGCGAGCCGGGCTGCTGCTGCCTGACGCTGCTCCCGGGGCTGAATCGATCGAGCGCTCGCCGCTGCTGCGCGCATTTTCGCCCCGTGGCAGCGCCGCCCAGTCGGCGGTTACCCAATGCCCTGCTCCTCTCGCGGGTGAGGGCCGTTGACCCACTCTCCTCTTTCTTCCTCTCTCTCTCTCTCACTCTCTCTTTCTCTCTCTCTGCGTAGCCGTCGCTCTCGACGAAAGTCACTCCAGGCCATTACGCGTGTAACTTTCCTCAGCGAAGCTCCGCGATTTATGGGCTTTCGGCGAATCACCAGCCATTGATGTGTGTACGATGGCATTCGAAGCTAACTGTCAACACCTACAGTTATTTGAGCGATTTGTTGCCTTTCTCAAGGACGTTCAAAAGAGTCGGCTTCTCCAACTCGTTGCGCCAACAGAGTTCTTTGCAAAGCTGCGCGTTAGAGCCGCTGAAACTGGAGCGCGCGCTCAACTGGCAAAAGTTCTCGACCCACATACACAAAGACCTGAAATGCGAGAGAGAAAAAACCGAGAAGCGAGCCGGCGAACAAACAATAGCAAAAACACCGAGCCGCTCTGCAGTTTCCTTGTTGCGCGATAATTAGCGCATCGGCAATTAGTCTGCCTATCGCTTTTCGGGGCGACCCTCGCTATGAAAAAGGAAGCAATTCGCTCGGCATTCCGCGCGAAATCTGCAATCAGTTTCAGCGCGAACGGCAAGTCATCGGCGCACGGAATGCAGCTTACAGGCACTTCTCGTCGCGTAGCGGCGACCTTGTTGCGATTACGCGGCTCCGTGTCCTACAAAATGAATCTTTTATCTTTCTGCCAGAGAGACGTGCGTCAAGCCGATAAGGCGTGTAGCGGCGGTCCAGGCGGAAATTGCGCGCCACACCAATCTGCGCCTCCATCTCTCAACTCGCAGCACTGTTCCTTTCGTTTACTTTCGCAGAAGTCTCTTTTTGTCATTTTATCTACTGTTATTCTTCTCCGCGCTGATTCACGAATAATCGAGATAAAAATGCCACGCAGCCGCGCTCTGCTTCGATAAGTCATTGAAACCAATTGTCTTTTCGTTCGAATCCCATTCATATATTTTTCTTTGAATGCTAATGATTCACACTTGAATAATAAGGCCCGCGCGCGGACTGGACGTGCGTCAGGCTCGAGTAAGATACGTGCCGATTACGATTGAACGCGATGCAAAAAGACTGTTGCATAAATTTAATTGAAAGTCGTGTAGGCTGAATCTTGGACGCCGATTTGGCGCGTTGAACGTCGTCGTGTGTGTCACTGACAGCTCGATATCTTGCGCCTTTACGAGGCTCATGCATGCCATCATTAATATTCAGCTGCGCGTGCTTTCGTGCGTTTTGTTCGCCGATATATAAGCAAGATTAATCACAGCCTGCGCGTTTCAAGAGTAATTATCAGCAAAGTGATCTTGCTGCGCGCGCAAGTCGACGTTCCTTTTTGTCACGCTTGCTGTGTGTGCGTGGCGCTGCCGCCACGCGGCTAATGAAGCCGGCGCCGTGCAACTCGATTTTTCATCTTGCGCGCCGATTAGCATTGAATCGTTCCGCAGAGGGCGACATTTAACGAGCGCCAATTATAATGGTCCCGTCCGTTTCGTGTTTTCAGATAAAGAAAGCTCGGAACGAGAGCTTGCGAGGCCAGCTAGCAGAGCTTGAACAAGAGACAGAAAAAATGGGAGCGCGACAGAGCAGAAGGTCCGTTGACATAACGACGACGCCGAAGAAGGAGGGTCTGCCAGCCGAAGGCGGCGTAGCGGCCGAGGGTGCCGAAAAGATCGAGAAGCTCGGCGCGATCGAAGAGGCGGCACCTGGTGCGGATGCCAAGCCAACCTCCAACGGGGTTGCGCCTCACACCGACGCCGCCGAGGATAAGGACAAAGACAAGGACGAGGCCACCGAGAAGGATCAGGACAAGGAGGTGAGTACGGCGCGCGGCACGAGACCGCGAACAGGGACGAGTCGCCGTCACAGTCGGGTTCTCTCGAAGCAGCAGGCCTGACCTAGACGGCCACTCCGACGACTGTCGCAAGCGCCGATCGTTGGCCCCCCGTGCCGCCACTCCCTCTCGCTCTCCTTCTGGCCAAGAGTCGCTTGCTCTCCGCAGAAGTGCGATCCTCGCACAATAGCGCCGCGAGCGTTCTTTCGCCGCGCGCCTTTGAGGCGAGGGCGCACTCGGCGAAACCGGGTAGTTCCGACTAGAACTGCAGCTGTCACGCGCCAGGTAGGCGCCAGCTTGTTGCCCCCTTCGCTTGCAGCCTCGGGAGCTTCGTTCGGGTGGGGGAGCGCGACGAGGGGCTGACTAGCGTCTTTCGCGCAGCAGGTGCACGCGCGGCGCGGACGATCGGGTTTCCAGCGAGAACGTCTTCGCACTTCTGGCAGCGATCCGAGCGCCGCCGGCTGTCCGCAGGCTGCAAGACCACTCGGCGATCGCTGGTCCTCGAGCAGTTCTCGGCGAGCGACAAACCACACGCGGCAAAAAACGAGATGCGCCCCTCCAGTCGGTCGACGCTTGACGATTCTCGGCGACCTTGACCGCACTAGGTCAGAACGACAGGTCTGAGGTCGAGCGGTGATCCGCAGGGCCGTTGTCCCCCTCGGTGCCGGCCCTTGTTCTGCTTTTACGAGCGCGCCGCTTCTCGCTGTTGCTTTCTGCCCAATTACCAGCGAGAGATGCCGTGTGATTTAGGGCTCTTACAGGTGGATTAGCTTTCTACGGCGAAGCGGAGGAAAAGAGCGACGGAACCGCAGTCGTAAAACTTGTGCTGCGCGCCAGCAGATTTACGACTTGCCGGCTCGGTCGATGCAGCCTCGCACCACTCGTCACCGAGCCAATCAATAAATACACGCACGTCGCGCCGCGTTTCTCTAAGCGGCGACGGCCAGAGGAAAATTACGTCCGCTCCACGGCCGTCGGCGCAGCGGAAAGAGACGCCGATGGAAAGGAAAAGATAAGCGCTGCATAGCGATGAGTCAGAGTCGCGCGGTTAGCGCCAACTTTTGGTCGCCGCGTCGATTGGCTCAATTAAAGCCACTCGTTACTGGCGGACTGCCGCGAATGGCGTGCGCGCGCTGCACCACCTGTCCGGCCAAATTTTTGCGTCCGGCGCGCGGCACGCAAATCTCGCCTTCGACCAAGTGCGGTTTGATTTGGACGTTAACAGTGGCGATAATAATGATCATGCGCGCGAATTCTCGGGAAGGAGTCTGAAAGGAAGCGGCAAGTAAATAATCGTCTCGTACGTCGGGTGAGATTTGCATGCAGAAATTTCTATATGTATGTAACCGAGTGCGAGATTCTCGCACGCGAAACCGAAAGTGAAACCGTGTAAACACAGGCGCACGAACACACACGCTCTCGAAGGAGCAAAACAAGTGCAGCGTGCGCGCCGAGTGCTCGTAATAACAGCGTAAGTGAGCAAAAAGAAAGAGGATCCTTGAACGTTGCGCGTCGGACCTCCGGGCTCTCAGGTTTTGTTTTGTTTTGTTTCGTTTTGTTTTGTTGTGTTGCGTTGCGCTGCGCGTTTTTTTTCGATGAAAGCAATTGACGCGCGCCCGAAAATCAGGTTCTTCGCAGACTATTACCAGCATGCGATCGTTTTTTCGGCATTACGGCTGGCTCCATCTTTTTCTCACGATCCTGTAGAAAGCACACGATTTTTCCACGAGAACAAATTTTGCGCGAAAAAGAAATTGAGGTCGGACGTGTATCGAGACGGAGAGAGAGAAAAGTATTTCGGTGAGTCAAGTGAATGGAATCCGTCAACAGCACCTGTCCTTTACTGCGAGTTTTTCTGCGCTTTGACAGTCGATCCTCGTGTTTGGGAAATCTATTGTGGAATGCCGCGTCGTTCAACAACGGATCAAAAAAGTAAGTTTTATCGAGTTCCGCCTTACTTTCACGCTTCTCCTCCTCCCTCGTGTTAAAGTTTTTCACAGGAACACCAATATATTACTCGCGCGATATTAAAACGAATATCGAAACGAAGGGAGAGAGATTTGTTTCTCCGCCAGGTCGTACCAGAGAACAACGGTTTGGCTCGTTGACGATATGTGTAGAGGCGTATTTGGCTTGATCGCTCGATTAGGGGCGTCGCGCGCGAGCAGTGTGCGCGTGTATAGTGTTTACCTTGCGATATTCGCGCTGATTGATTGTCTCGCCTCGTACGGCAGTTTGTATATCTTATCTTGGCGTCCCCTTCTATTATTCTTCTTTTTTCACTTTGGCTATTGGCTGTCGTGCACGTACTGCGTTCTTGGCGATTTTTTGGTGAATATACTTATTGTTGAACTGTGTCAATAGAAAAGAACAGCATGAAAACGAAAGTGCATCGATGCTATTTCGTCCAAGGCTAAGTTCAAAGCGACGGCGCAAAACAATACAATTGCTGCAATTTATACCCGTGGCATCAATTACCACGCGCAACTCTTCGCAGGACTTTCATCGAATTCGTGGAACCCGAACTTTCACGTGCTAACTCTCAAGTGCATCCTTTCTTTATTCATTTGTCGTGCGAATGCAATCAGTCGAGGAAGGGGTATTGGCTGCATTTCCTTCATTCCGATATCGCAATAATTTCCATAACACCACAAGCTCCATCCGCAAAAGCGAAAGACGCCAAGAAATTTGTTCATGCGCGGATAAACCGCGTAGCACGAGGGCGAATAGAAGGGTCAGCGACGCGAGAAGGAGAAATCGATTGGTGTGGCGCGCTGTTCTGCTCGACTCGGGTGACTCGAACGAGCGGGAAAAAAACAGAAAAAGAAAAGCAACGGTGAAAAGCCGCCGCATTGAAGGGGGCGCGGGCGCGCGATCGGAGAAGCCACCAACTCGTCACTCGTCGTCGTCCTCGTGTACGTGTAATCGGATATTTTCTGGACACTGGCCGCGGTCTCTGCGGCGATGCACCTCAGCTCCGCGATCGCTCTTTTTCTTTTTTGCCGACTCTCTCCTTGTTTTGTCCCGTCGGCACACGCAACCAAGTCAGTGGGAGAGACACTTTTCTCTCTCTTTCTTTCTCTCTCTTGATGCTTCTCGATGATTCCGTAAGAATAACAAAAAGTGCCATGAGCACTATTAGATAGAAAGGGAGGGAGAGTGTGTGCGTGCGTACGTATCTATGAGAGCGAGTTAAAAAACTGTGGCGTTACTCCCATTGTTATCGTGGCTCGACTGTTGATACAACTGGAGTATTTCACTGAAATCCCTCCCGCACTGTACGTTGAATCAACAGCGAAGGCTACTCTAGCGCGTCGGTGTCTGTTGTCACTCTGCGTGTTTACTTAAGCCAAGCGTAATTTTTTCGCTAATTTATCAGACAGTCGCGGCAAGAAAGCTACATTGTCGAACGCTACTGCAACTTTCTAGATGTCCAGCACGGCTCAATGGATACGACACAGTTTCACGGCTTGTTGCGCTTTCTCTCTCTCTCTCTCTCTCTCTCCCCCGCTGCTGTTAGCCGACGTTTGACCCGAGATAGCTCGTTTGACTTTCATACGTGTACCGTTGTCGCAATAAAACAATCATGGCCGAGCGAGAGGGACGACAACGCTATCGACGCGCGACACAAATTATGGCCAGCTCGATAAAGCCAACTACAACGAGAGAGCTGCTGTTCTGTGCGTGCGGTGTGCGAATGCAAACTTTACACCTCGCCATTGTCTCTTGAAAGTTCCCACGAGGGCCCAACTATACATATATACAAAGCCTCTCGTTCCGCGAACGATCTAACGAGCGAGAGCGTTACGCTCGAGTTGATCCTCAACTTTCGACTCGTCGTCGTCGTCGTCGTCGTCGCCGTCGTTGGAGTTTATTGGACCGGAAGCCTTGCTAATGCTGCTCGCCAGATGATTCGCCGCTTTGACAAAGCCAAAAGCAACGATTACTGTGGCAAAGTGCCGTTTCTGCGCTATCACTGCTGCTCCCTTATCGCTCGCAGTGCTCTCTCTCTCTCTCTCTCTCTCTCTCTGTACGTATATTTCAGTTTTATCGCGCCAGCCGAGGTACTGCGACAATGAAACAGTTATCGAAATTGTGCTCTGCGAAGATGAAGCAGGAGAAGAGAGCACCGCGATACTCGGAGGCGGGGAATCAGACAATCGATAATTCATCGGTTGCCCTCGAGGCCAATTAACGAAGACAAAAGAAGAAGCCTATATAGCTCCTCTGTGACAAGACGACGACAACGGCGCACAGCCACCCACTTGTCCAATGAGCCACGATGCAACAAACATCAGCGCACAATGCCGAGCGCTCGTCCCGTTACGAGAGCAGCGCGTACACAATTGAGTTACTGTTACGCGCCTGCATCTCCCTCGCGCGGAACAAATAAGCTGTGCTAAGCCTTGTATTCATAATGCGAAAGAGAGAGAGAGAGCGCGAGCGTGAGCGCGTGCGCGTGCCGGGTCTGCTCTTTCATTCGCTAATTACATGCATTAACTGGCGCGAGCAATGAAACGCGATACACTACTGCCGTACCAGCCGGCTAATTACCACGACTTACCTCGCTCACTCTCCTAGACGGTCCTCTCGCTCGCTGGCTGGCTCGCGGGGTTTGCATCTTCTTCACAGCTTTACGCAACTCTACCGAACGCGCTTCGTCCGTCTACGCGGGCTGGCCAGACATGGCGAGATCGCCGGGCGAAGCGAGCTTCGGTGGCAGTTGCCGAAAACTGGCCCGACACAGCAGCGCACCGGTGCAGTTTCGCTCGAACAATAGGTCCGCTCCTACGCCGAGCGACTCAAAAGAATTTCATATGCCCTTCCTTTCAATTAGAAAAAGCTAACGGACTGCCGACGGAATGAGCAACAGTAGCGCGAGCAAGCGTTGCGCAATGTGACGGTGGCGAAGGCATGTAAAAGAAGGCAGTTAATTAAAATGTAAAAGCGTATTACGGCTGCAGTGGGGCAGCAGCCATCCAACAAAAGTGAATTACGTACGGGGCGCTCGCTCGCATGCAGTCTCTCGGTGCCCGTGTGCTTTTCCGCGAGCACTCCGCGACAGACAGAAATGTGGGTTAGCGAAGCTAGCATGCTAATTATCTAATGCCGGTGATTAGCCGCGCGACGGCGAACTCGGCTTGTCTTTATTTTTTCTTTCTCTCCGTTACGTCACGCCGAGCCGCCGGTTGAAGAGAGCTCCGAAGAATTAGCCAAGACAGCTCGGCGTCCTGGAGATTCGTCGAAGGCTGCCTTTTTCCAGAGCACCATTTTCATGAAGGCAGACAAAAGAAAACTAATTAAAGATGCTGCAAAGGGGAAAGATGTTCGATGGAGAGAGGAGGTCGCGGAGCGATATTAAAGAAGAAAGACTCGAAGGACGCTATGTTTGCATTGCTCGGCACGGGCCGAGGGAGAGAGAGCCAACGACATCCAATAATCGCCGCAGGAATTTTAATAAAGCGAATCGGAAAGAAGGAGAAGGAGGGGGTCGAGCAGCACGATAATACGTAGTCGGGCTATGCCCCTCGAGAGAGGACCTTTATTGGAAAATGTTTCAAAGCTCTCGAGGTCGGGGCCGCGCGTTCTCGCATGTGTGAGTATGCCGGTTGGAATGCCGCCGACAGCGAGTAATAACCGCGCGAGCGACGAGCAATTGCCACGACCGAAAAACAACGATTACAGTCGAGCGAGCTTATCGCGCGCCACGCGCGTCCGTCTTCCTTTATTTTTGTCCTGCACCGAGGCGCGTCTTCGTGAATGTGCATTGTGCGCACTCGCTTGGCCCCGTGGGACAAAGGAGACGCGACGTTGCGCTCGTGAAAATGCATCGGCGCATAAACGAGCGGACGAGGTTTTAATATGCGCGCCGCCTCCCTTCGCCACTGGCCTACACTTCGCACTTGATCATTCGCGTCGCAGAGACGGACGCAACAGGACTCTACTTTTTGTCAAGATTAAGAGAATGGAAAATGTCTCGAGGCCGAGTTGTTTTTGCGCGCATCGGTCGAGGGAGCCCTGAAACGCTTTGCGCACCGAGAGACGGACGAGCGCGAGAATCGCAAACTGCCGTTCGTGGCGAAAAATCCATGGGGACATCCGTGCTCCAGTGGAATAGGGAGAATTCGCTAATCTAGAAGAGCGATCTGGAATCACGGCAGACGAAAGCACGACAAGGCGGAAAAGTCAATCGACAGGACGGGGATCGTTCTCTGTTTCTCGGCTTTCATCGATCGCAGCACGATTTCCTCCCGAGGAAACCAGCTGCAGCAGCCGCGCCCTCGGCACGAAGGACGAGCGCCAATTATCTCGAGCTACTCCGTCGGGCAAAACCAGTTTCCGAGGGAGTTCGCGGAAATCAACCATATTTCAGTGAGCGACGCGCCCAGTAGGCTTCGATCTTATCACGCGCTGCCTATGAGAGAAGATCACCGGCTGTTCCGCTGCTACCGTCACCAGACGACGCTGAGCTCGCGTTAGTGCGATCGCAGACTGTTGTTCTTCGACAACAAAGTACGTTAGATCGGTGTTTTCCTCGATGACCGATTTGACTTGATTGCCGTAAAAAATGAATTGCGAGGTGATAGCATCGTTCGAATTTTTTCTAAGCATTGCAGACTCGCCATAACGATGGGACGGGAGAAGGAGAAGCTGCTAGGAAAACAATATCGTCTGCCTGGCACAATGCCGTTGACGTATCGACAGTTGGGCTTCATTGTCTGCTCAGTCTTTTTTGTCTTTTTATTTTCGCGCTCGCCCGCGCGTTTGCGTGCCACTGCTTCTTATTTCTCCGACAGAGTCCCGTTAGTCCGGCCTATGGACGATCGCGCGCACGGCTTCCCTCTCTTTCCGAACAGGACCGCATGTCGTCTGTTATGAAATGCGTTAGCGTCGATGCGTAAACGGCGCCGAACCGCGGGGCCTCGTTTAAGCTTAAGTCGAGATCGCAGGATGACCAATGATCGCCGAACGGTTGCTGTTACAGAAGTCCGACGAGGCAGCGACTAAGGAGGACGCAAAGGAGGAGGTAAAGGCGGAAGAGGCGGCCGCAGCAGCAGCAGCAGCAGCAGCTCCAGCTCCAGCTCCAGCGGAAGCTGCGGCGACGCCCGAGGCCGGTTCGCCAACCGAGGCCACGACACCCACCGATGTCGCCAGCGCCAACTCCACTCCCAGCACTACGCCGGACACCAAGGAGGCCAAAAAGAAGGATAAGGTACGCCCGCTCGTAATCGCCGGAATCGCAGTCGTATAGCTCTCCGCGCGCGTTACGATAGCAACGTCAGCTACACGGACAGCCTCGTCCTTGTGCACCGCTGAAACGCGTGGCGCGCGATGCTGCCTGCCTTGCCTGCGCGCAGCTCCAACGATCGATAGCCCGTGAGGGCGTTGCGCCGGCGCTACGCATTTTATTTAACCGATTCGCACGCATCTGCCGCTGTGCTACCCCGACGCCGGGAGGTCAAGGCACTTGCCCGCTCCCTCTGTCTCCGCGCGACAATTAATTTCTCGAAGCCTTCACGCCGGGTCACTTTTCTTTTTCTAGATTGCTGTTGTCGATCGTTCATTCTATTCGCGAAATCCTTCCAATTCGTTGACAAAGTACCCGCGAAACACCGCTTTATCGCTCTTTTATGATCATTGTAAAATAAAGACACTACGACAATACTGTGGCAATAAAACGGATACGCACATCGTAATAATAGCGATGCTTTATTATTTTGTAGAGCTTATCAAGCAATAGTCTAGAATAAAATGTCGTTTCAATAAAATTTAGCGTCCATTTAATAATATGAAAGGGAATGAACTGAAATTGAAACGAATGCGACTGATTTGTTTTTGCAGAGCAAGAAGAAGTGGTCGTTCAGGTCGATCAGCTTCGGCAGGAAAGATAAGAGCAAACCAGTGCGCGAGGGTACGCCGAAGAATGGAGACGTCGCCAAGGAAGCACCATTGGCCGAGGTAAGTTGTTCGTCCGCGGCAGATTGATCTTCAAGCTTCTCAGCCGGCACACACACACGCTTGCGCATACGTCATCTTACCGAAGACTAATTCATCTGCGAATTCGGTAACTTGAGACGCAAGATACACACACGTAGACACTATCCGATGTGTGAGCGGATGATTAATCAAGATTATCCGACGTTTGACCGATAAATCAGCGTGCGCCCTCGCAGCTCTGTGCTAACTTCATTCCCGAAGCAGGTATCAAGAAGGAGATCGCCTTGTTTTGCCGTATCTCTATCGCAGCCCTCTATCTACCCGAATAACGCATTAAAAAATTGATTACGTTCGAGCGAGAGAAGGCGCGGACGTCCCGACAACTCACACCATACAGAGCACAATGCCCATGCCGCGTCGATATCGTTCTCTCGGGCTGCCAATAAATTTTTCCCTCCTTTCTCGCTTCGCGTAGCCAAGATTATACACTCACTTTTGCACGGAAGGCTTTGCTTTGCTGGTTCTCGCTCTTCTTCTCGCCAGCCGAAAGTACACTTTTGTGTTCCGCGCCTGAGAATAGATTAAACATCGAGGCTCATGGAAGCGCGCTAAGAATGCGTTCCAGGGAAACGAGAGAAACAAAAGCAAAATCGAGAATATTTGTTCCGCGTGGTAACAGGTAACTCTTTGACAAGAAAAAGCAAGGACAATGGGTCGAGCGTCGTTTGTAAATCAACAGAAAATTAATAAAAAGAAGCATCGCTGTCGCAATAAAAAGCGAAGAAAGAAAGCGAGGAAGCGAGGAAGCGCGAAAGCGAGATAAAAGGACGAGAGAGAGAGAATGAATCGACGTGAGTCAGTGTAGCCGTCGTATTTCTGCGTCTCGGAAAGCGGAGTCGATACGGACGAAAGAGAGAAAAAGTCCATGGGCCATTATCTTTGGAGCCGATCCGCTGTTTATGTTTATAGCTCACCCGATATTATTCGCATCACTTATCTCGGTGCGAGCGATGCAGCGCAGCGCGGATAATGCGCGGCTCGATTTCTTGCGCTTCGTCCCGTTAACTTAGCACCTTCGCCAACGGCTCTCGTGTTTCGCTGTTTTTATTGTGGCCAGAGACCTGCACGCTTTCTTTCCCCTTGTGTCCATTTATTATTTATTTGTTTGATGTTTTCCAACAAGCGACGGAGCCTACTCGCTTTCATGATTATCTGCAAATTGAGCGAAAATGGCATTGGCGTTCTCTCGCTGTTCAATCAATAGAGCCATTATTCCACGCGAATCAGTTGTTAATTATAGCCGCGCTAAAGTTCATTAAGTGGGAACAAGTTGGTTAGCGCGACGTTTAATCGAGCGGTTTGGAAAAATAGCTCCTTCGATCTATCTGCCAGTGTGTAGCCCCAGTAGAAAAACGATAGCAAAAACCCGCACTGGCAAGCTGATTAATCTCGCTGCTGATGTATTCTCTATAGAAAGGCTAGATGCGTTGCTGTAAGAGAAAAGTGCCAAGAAAAAGCTGAACGATCGCAATCAACGTGGCAATTCTTCTTCTTTTATCGCTGTCGAGCTTTCATTGAGTGGCTAGTGAAACTCGTAACATTCCGTTAACGAAGTCGTATTGTCGCATACCTCATTGGTTCACAAAGGAACGCCAAATTGCACTTGGACTTTCGGACTTTTGGACTTTTGGACTCAGTCTCGAAGCAGTCTCGAAAACAACGGATTGCAAAGTTGCATGATAAACTTGAGAGACTTTCCACGCGCCTTGAAAACGAGTGCACCGCTGTCGTCGCTGTACCGCAAACGTTTTTAGAAGATTCCGCGAGGCGCGAGCATCGCTTCGATAAGACGAGCGGTTTCGCGGAGACGGAGATAAGACCAGCGCGTTATGCACAGTCGAAGCAGCAAGTTCAAGTGCGCGCTGCCAGAAATAAGCCGAGAAATTAGCCGCCGCAGTACAAGCACTAATTGGATATTCCCCTCGAATGCCTCTCTGCGCCCGGATCCTTTTTCGCCGACTATATCCAGGGAGTGGCGCTCGCTCTGAATTATGCGACTGTCGCGTCATCGCTTCTCCGTTTTCTTCGTCGTGCCTACCTCTGACATATACGTATGTATGCGTGCTCTCGCTTCATTTTTTTTACCTTCTTGCAGCTCTTACCGACTCGTTTTACTTAACAAGCCCCTCGATTTTAAGGCATACTCCCCCTCGCCGAGTTTTTATTCTTTTTTCGCATTGTACATCTCACGCGCGCGCAAAGATTCGTCGCTAAAGTCACCTTATTATTTCTTCAAACCACTCGGAGCTTTGCTTCCGCGAAGTAATCTTCTGTCGGCTAATGTCGTGGCGGTCGATCAAAGTAAAAGCCAATAACACAACCGTGTAATTTCCGACTCTGGGGGAACAAATGGCGTTTAATTATGGCGCGAGAGTCGCGCGAAATGGATGTCGATTGTCGTCGTTGTTTGCGCGAGCGCGCGGTTCAGCGGTCCAAACTTCCCGGATATTTCAGTAGCACTTATCGCTGGCAATTATCTGCTTTTCACGTTGGCACGTCGACGCGTCGGCGCGCGTCTCACCTGTCGCCGACGATACAGCGTATCGGCTAGCCCTCGCGCGTCAACGTACACATGCGCAGGGCTCCGTTTACGGGCGTCCACGCCTTCGGTGTCGTCGACCCGCCGATGAAACCGAGAGTACGCGCGCAGCGCGCACTTGGCAACTGGCAACTGGCATTTTCGAGGCGAGCCCAAAACTATCAAAGCTCGCCAGCGCGCTCTAATTGATAAAAGCGTAGCGCGCGCACATATATTCCCGGTCCTCCCCGTACGACCATAAATTAGGCCAATCGCGCTGCCGGCATCCCTACTCCTCCGCTGCCACCCTCGTCGGGGACCTTCAAAAGACTCGCCAACGTTTTACGGGATCGTAAATAACTCGTCCAGAAGCTCGCGAGAAGGGCTCACCGCGATAAAAATTCGTGCTAAGATATCATTTGCATCGCACATATCCTTTGCTCGCGGGACAGAGCGTATCTCAACTCGAAATTTGTGGCGGTGTAATTGTGATTCACGCGTTATTTTCCTTGTCACGCCGGACGTTTACGAGTGTTGCTCTGTCGTGAGACAAAGTAAGAGAGAGCTGAAACTTTTTTTCTTTCTCCCCTGGACGATGCGCCGCGTTCATAAACTTGACACGATTTTGAATTTATTAAAACTTTTTGACGAACGTGTATAAACTCTTGATTTGCATCTTGGCCGGTCATTTAAAAAGGGACAATGTGCGTGAAAGTGACGTTCGCTTCGAAACACGTAGGATTTATGCACGAACAGAGAGTATCTCAAGCTTGGGGGAACTTGGCGACTTCGCTATCTCGCTAGAGCACGAGAACGGCTTTTGCCGAATTTTGAGCGTCCGCGGTATATGCATGGAAAAGTTAACCACGGCGATTTGTCGATAATCTCTGAGAAACTATAGAGCGAGAGTCAAAAAGGGGGTCCAAGTTCGCAGCGCGTCCCAGTGCTGCTGTTAACTCTGGTCCAATAAGATCTCCAGAGAGTTTCGTACTAATGTCTTCGGCTCTCGAAATTATGGGTCGCTTCTAAGCTGTCGAGTTGCTTTTGGGAGTTGTTGATTCAATTCGTCCGCTGCCGACTTGACGATCGCTTATCCCCTTGATTTCACCGACTAACGTTGTCTTCAACTTCGAGTTTTGTTTGATCGTGGATAATATTGCTCAGGTAGTAAATGTAGCGAGACCAGGGTTTTCGGAATTTGTCTGCTCAGGAATATCAGTCGTAAAAGAGGCCTCCCCTTTGGAGTCCGAAATAAAATGTCTGTTACGAGGCAATGAAGAGGCCCTTGGCACACGTATACAGCTTCTCGTTGTCTCTGCGCTGAAAGTGCACAGCTCGCATTGCTCTAAAAATAGGCCCAACTCCGGATCATTGTCTTTCTACTCGAGTACTTGTGTGCAATGATCAAATGCACTTTTTTCACTTTCTAAACGGCGAAACAAGAGCGTCTTTGTGTTCTCGTGACAAAAGGTATTTCAGGACGAGCATAGACCCCCATCATCTCCTTGTAGCCCCTCGAGCAAGTAAGCAGGCACGTATTTAATTAGACCCCCCCATGCCCCATCTAGTCTCGCCCATTAGATGGAATTCACGCCTATTCTGTCATCTTGTTTACGGTGCTTTCGTGTGCAACATGTAACACCGAGCTCGTTTTCCCTACGAATAGTTTCACGTTCGAAATGAGATCCGCGGAAAAAATATAAGTAAAACAATTTCCATCTCGCTCGCGCGCGACCATGCGAGTATCGAGCAAAGATCGTTTCCTCGCCTACGACTACGGCTTTCCATTTCGCGCGCGGTCTCGAGTCTATCGGCAGCCGCGCGTGACTCGATTTCCCGGCAGGCGTATGGGTAGGTGTCAAAGCAATTTGCCGTGGCTGCGCCCCCGGCGTTGGGATTGCCCGCGAACGCTGCGTAACGGAGCTCGACGCCGCGTCGGCTCGTCGTTATAGCCGTCGCATGTGGCGGCTTTCAAAGCAACTTTTCTTTCTCGATTATCTCGCGCGAGGTTTGTTGCGAAAAACGCCGCTGGAATGCAACCCGGTCAATTCTTTTGTATTTTCGCGCTGCAGATGAGGTTGTCCGACGGTTTGTGAAAGCCTTTTTTCCTCGTGACGCTATTATACCAACAGAACAACAGAACTATCGTTATGCACGAGTGTAGGTCTATAGAGAAACTACGTAGTTTACTCGTTAAAGGACTCTACTGGCACGCAACACGAGACCGGACGCGTGCGCCAACATTTGCATCGCAATAAAACAGACAGCACAGCCTAACGCACGCGGATATCAAATGTAAAGCTTTAAGCACGTGACTTCGAAGCTTGTTTTTTGACGAACGTGAAAAAGGGAAATCCGATAGTCGAGTGCACGAAAACACTTCAACCGTGATACGGCCTAGTCGAACGGGCATGCAACTCCGTAGTAAAGAAAAGGTAGGAAC